ATTAGGTCCAGTCGTGGCCGACTCGGGTTGCGGCGCTCATCTCGCTCTATAGGCTGAGGGAGCCGGTGTACAGCTTCCAGGTCATGTGGCCAGCATGACTAAGCCGCTTCTGGCAAACCAGAGCAGCGTAGGGAAATGCCATTTACCTTCCCGCCGGAGCGGTACCTATTTATCTACTTGCACTTTGACGTGCTTTCGAACTGCTAGGTTGGCAGGAGCAGGGACCCAGCAATGGGAGCTCACCCTGTCGCGGGGATTCAAACCGCCGACCTTCTGATTGGCAAGCCCTAGGCTCTGTGGTTTAACCCACAGCGCCACCCACATCCCATTACAGTGGTACCTCAGGTTAAGAACTTAATTTGTTCCGGAGGTCCGTTCTTAACCTGAAACTGTTCTTAACCTGAGGTACCACTTTAGCTAATGGGGTCTCCTGCTGCTGTCACGTGATTTCTGTTCTCATCCTGAAGCAAGGTTCTTAACCCGAGGTACAGTGGTACCTTGGGTTACAGACGCTTCAGGTTACAGACTCCGCCAACCCAGAAATATTACCTTGGGTTAAGAACTTTGCTTCAGGATGAGAACAGAAATCGTGCTCCGGCGGCGCGGCGGCAGCAGGAGGCCCCATTAGCTAAAGTGGTGCTTCAGGTTAAGAACAGTTTCAGGTTAAGAACAGACCTCTGGAACAAATTAAGCTTTTAACCCGAGGTACCACGGTACTATTTCTGGGTTAGCGGAGTCTGTAACCTGAAGCGCCTGTAACTGTACAGTGGTACCTCGGGTTACGTACTTAATAAGTTCTGGAGGTCCGATCTTAACCTGAAACTGTTCTTAACCTGAAGCACCACTTTAGCTAATGGGGCCTCCCACTGCTGCCGCCGCGCGATTTCTGTTCTCATCCTGAAGCAAAGTTCTTAACCCGAGGTACTATTTCTGGGTTAGCGGAGTCTGTAACCTGAAGCCTCTGTAACCCCAGGTACCACTGTATTAGCATCCCACCGGAATGTTCCATCCTTCACCCTGTACGGGGGGGGGGGAGGTGGAAAGGGAAGAATTGATGGCCAGGGGGGAGCCGGCGAGAGGCTTCGCGACGCCTCTCCAATCCCATCTCCACCCCCCACCCCCGCGTGGCCATTTTCAACAAGCGACGCCCCCCCCACTCCGTCGCCCACTCCCCCCCCTTCTAGCCCCGTTAATGGTCCGGCCCGCCTCGGCCAGCCGCGCGGCGTCACAATCCTCCGTGGCCCCGCCCCCGGCCAGGTGCTATAAAAGGACGCGCCGCGCGCCCTCCTCCGTCTGCTGCTGCTGCTGCTGCCGCCGCCGGGAGAAGGAGACGCAGCTGCTGCCGCCGCCGCCGCCGCCTCCGCTGGCTTTGCTGCGCGTCCCCCCGAGCGAAGCTGCGCTGTTCCCGGCTCGCGGGCAGGAGGAGCGCCGCTGCCACCCCGGCGAGGGATGGATCGGGGCCCGAGGCCGCTCAGGTTGCAACGCTGAAGCCATGAAGACCCTCATCGCTGCCTACTCCGGCGTCTTGCGAGGTACGGGTGGTACCCAAGGAAGGGGGAGAAGGATGTTGGGGGGTGGGGGGTTGGAGGAGGATTTTTTTTGGGGGGGGAGAAGCATGGGCGTAGATCCACCAAAATTATTGAAATTAACTGAGGTTCTGCTCACCCCCCCCAGTAGAAGCCTGCAAGGCTGCCCCCCCATAATGTCTTTTTTGGGGGGGTATTTTTACCCGTGATTCCCCCCCCCCCAAAAATAAGCTCAACTTTTACTGCGTTCTTCCTTTTGGCAGCTCAAGATGATCAGGTGCCAGCGAAAACGGCAAGGTTTTTTTAGCGGGGGCAATTAGAACAAGATCTGTTATTTGCTTATTGATGTCAACCCCCCAAATGTATTTTCTACAGTTAGGTTTTTACCTCTATCTTCAATACATTTTATTTTATTGCTACGGCTCGTGGCTGATGCAAATAAAGATTCTTCTGATTCTGATTCGACAACTTTAGAGAGTGATCTCCTAAAAAGAAAATTTTTTAGCTGCCCCCCAAATCCTGGCAACGCCCATGGGAAGAAGGGATATTCAATTTTATATTCTATACTCAGCATGGAATCTCTGAATATCAGGCAGGATCTCTTCCCCCCCAATCACCCACATCTCCTTCATATAATCTCCATTATTGTAACTTGAAGCCATGGGTTCGAGTCCTACCACCCAGAGCAGGAGAAAGCAAGCTTGCTCCATCTTCTGTGTGACAGCCCTTGAGATATTTGAAGATGGCTATCATATCATAAATGGCATTTCCAGTTTTTTCCTTTTTCTGCCCCTCCCTACCTTGCAGTTTTAAGGGGGGGGGGAGGCAGCTGAAGTGAGTAACAATTCGCCAAGGGATAGCGTCCAGCTAGGTTGCCAACTTTTATAAAATTGGCGGGGAGGTAAGCCCTGTCGCGCAAAATTGATATCAGAAGAGACGACACACATATGCCATATGAATGGCAATGTCAATCAACTTGGGGGGGGCGAAATATTTTATTGTGGGGAGTCTGAAGGGCCTTGGTGCCTAGGAGTTGGCTCCTATGAAATGCAGCGGGGCAGATTGCAAAGGTGGAAGCCCCAAGGTGTGTGTGTGCACACCTTGGTGCCGGGAAGAATGTTGTTGGGTTGAGGTGTGATTCCATGTGCAAGACGGGAGGGGAGAACGGTTATCTGCAATCTTCTAGCCAGCTTCCTTATTTGTGTCTCAAGGAGGTGCGCCATAACAATGGCAAAAGGGGAGCTAAGTTTGAAACGTTGAAAGATCCGCAAGAAAAAGCCGGCCATTCCTTTCAAAAGAAGCTAAAACTGCTTCAAAGAGACATGGAAAAGGCAGGTCGGAACGCAGGTGTCCTCGGTTGTTTGTGGAAAGTGCAGATAATGGGTGCCTCTCGTATCTGGACAGGAATGCTGTTCCACAGAGCAGGGGCAGCCTTCAAGATCCTTCAAGGATCTTCTTTGGCGATCCCTCATAGCCGAGTAAGATTGGCTTCCGTAAACACGGTTTTAGCCGTGAGTCCATAAGTGCCTGTGGAGGCCAATTCTGGACCCACACGTCCTTCCACAGTAGGGACACAGGTTTCTGGGCAGGAGTTTGATCACGGTGAGGGTTTGCCAAGCGTGCCTTCCTTTTAGCACGTTTCTCCCTTTTGTCCTGAGTTCGAGTGTCTTCAAAGCCCATGACACCTTTGGTAAAGGCTGTTCTCCAACTGGAGCGCTCGCAGGCCAGTGTTTCCCATTTGTTGGTGTTTATACTGTATTTTTGAGAGAGTCTTTAAACCTCTTTTGTCGACCACTGGCATTATGCTTTCCATTTTTAAGTTATGAATAGAGTAGTTGCTTTGGCAGACGATCATCAGGCATCCGCCAACATGACCAGTCTTACGAAGTTGATGTTGAAGAATCATCGCTTCGACACGGGTGATCTTTGCTTCTTCCAGTACACTGGCATTAGTTCGCCTGTCTTCCCATGTTATCTGTGACGGCAAACGCCTTGCCCCATCAGCAGATGGGTAGCCATTGCAAACACCGCAAGCAAGGTGTTTGCATGTTGGCCATGGTTTTGCCCCCAAATGAGCAGCCTAGCCATTTTCTTCTGCACCAGTTACAGCTACCAGACCAACCCCCAAGGGCAGCCCCAGAAAGAGAACACTGTAGTAATCCAGCCGTTTGGGAACCGATGCACAGATAACTATGGTCAAGGTATCCCGATCCAGGAATGTCTGTAGCTGTCTTAAAAGGCATCTTTAGCTGCTGAGGGCATCTTTGCCATCTGCAAGTCATACAGCCTGATCCATTTTATCAACACCCCCCTTCTCTAGCCTCTTCTTGGTTGTTTTCCTACCTTCCTATTCTGGAATAGCTGAACCCCTTTTTGATGGACTTTTTGGCTCTATGGTTTCCATATGGTATAATGCACCATTCTTCCTATGTTCCCTAGAACTCACATTGATAGCTCTTTAACACTGCGTGCCTCTGTTGGCCCGTCAGGTTTATTTACCCCCAGGTATTTTACCTGTGGGGGCACGGGTGGCGCTGTGGGTTAAACCACAGAGCCTCTTGAGCTTGCCGATCAGAAGGTTGGCGGTTCGAATCCCCGCGACGGGGTGAGCTCCCGTTGCTCGGTCCCTGCTCCTGCCAACCTAGCAGTTCGAAAGCACATCAAAGTGCAAGTAGATAAATAGGTACCGCTCCGGTGGGAAGGTAAACTGTGTTTCCGTGTGCTGCTCTGGTTCACCAGAAGCGGCTTAGTCATGCTGGCCACATGACCTCGGAAGCTGTACGCCGGCTCCCTCGGCCAATAAAGCAAGATGAGCGCCGCAACCCCAGAGTCGGCCACGACTGGACCTAATGGTCAGAGGTCCCTTTACCTTTACCTATTTTACCTGTGAGGTCCAACAAGGGGTTGGTGTGGAGTTTCCCTCTGTTGTTATTAAAGACGAAACAAAAAGCAGAAAGTTAGCCGTTCATGGAGGGGTCTGTACGAGTGGGATGGAGCTTCCATCTGCTGGTGCAGTCTACCTTGGAAAACTGGGTGCTGGTGGGCAGACTGTTTCCTTTGTGCCCTTCTTGGCTGTCAGGCTTCTCGGAGGAGTCAGGTTTGCTGCTATGGAAGAAAAGCAGACTTGAACTTATGGCCTGATCCTGTAAGGTGAAGCCTGAGCAGGGCAGTGAGACTGTAAGCATTTGAAACGCTAAACCCGTAAATGCAGCGACGACCACAGAAGCAGCAACCAAAATGCTGCCATGAAAGCCACAAGGTTTCTGCGGAGATCTGGAGATCTGCAAGTATTGGGTGTAAACTAAGCATGCTCTCAAGCTTATTTTCTCTTGCTCTGGAGGTCAGCACCCGAACCGATGGATTCAAGTTACAGAAAAGGAGACTCTGACTAAACATAGAATCATAGAATTGTAGAGTTGGAAGGGACTCTGAGGATCATCTAGTCCAACCCCCTGGAAGGCAGGAAAATGCAGCTGTCCCCATACAGGGCTCGAACCAGCAACCTTGGTGCTATCAGTACCATGCTTTAACCAGCTGAGCTAACCAGCCTGATATCAACAAGAACTTTCTGATCTTAAGAGTTGTTTGACAGTGGAACAGACTCACTAAGGAAATGGTGGAATCTCCTACATTGGAGGTGTTTAAGCTGATTTTATTATTATTATTATTATTGCTTTTCAGATTTACACATTTCACTATTTTTGCAATCATTTTAACACTTCAAAACTTGACTTCCTTCCCCCTCTTTCTGTGGTTCCTTAAGTTTATTTCTGATATCTTCTGCGTATCCAAATTAACTTACATTGCTCTTTTATTCATCTCCTTTAAGCATATACCCTTATGAAACTGCAGGTTATTGCAATAATCCTGCCAATGTTCTTATCTGTTTGCAATTTATTTGTAAATAGTCAATAAACCATTTCCATTCTTTTGTAAAAAGTTTGTTACCTTGATTTCTTATTCTTCCAGAGAGTTTTGCCATTTCTGCACACATTTTTGTGTTTAAACTGAGTTTTGATGGTCACGGATACTTTAGTTGAGATTCCTGCATTGCAGGGGGTTGGAATAGAGGACCTCTGGGTTCTGTTCCAACTTTAAGATTCTATGGTTCTGTGCTATGTTAGGGCAGCAGAGCAGCTTCTGCTTGCAGCCAGGGCTCCATGTTGGACTTTGCATGTGCATGGAAGCACCTTCCATGTATCGGAGCAATAGCCTGAATTCTTTGTAGCGCTCATCAAAGGGCTTTGCACATTGGCAATCTTTACTTATTTACTTGCCTTGTGTGCTGTTGGCTTTCTGCTAAGGTGCTCAAGGCCATTCGCCGCCTCACCATTGAATAGGCAGGACCCCAAAGGGACAGAGAGCAAACAGGGAAAATTATGCAAACAATTCCAGCGTTCTTTGGCCCTTTTGCGGGAAAGGCTGTGTTGCAGGTGCTCCCTGCCGATCCGAAATTCTCTGGGATGCAACCTGCCTGCTGTGGCCCTTCTTCATGGTGGCTCCTTGTCTGGTGGGCTTCCTCCAGAGAATCATAGAATCATAGATTCTATGATTCAGGTTACATACGCTTCAGGTTACAGACTCCACTAACCCAGAAGTAGTACCTCGGGTTAAGAACTTTGCTTCAGGATGAGAACAGAAATCGGGCGGCGGCAGCAGGAGGCTCCATTAGCTAAAGTGGTGCTTCAGGTTAAGAACAGTTTCAGGTTAAGAACGGACCTCCGGAACGAATTAAGTATGTAACCAGAGGTACCACTGTACTTTAAAACGTTTTTTTCAATTCATTTTGGGTCATAGAATCATAGAGTTGGAAGAGACCACAAGGGCCATCGAGTCCAACCCCCTGCCAAGCAGGAAACACCATCAGAGCACTCCTGACATATGGTTGTCAAGCCTCTGCTTAAAGACCTCCAAAGAAGGAGACTCCACCACACTCCTTGGCAGCAAATTCCACTGTCGAACAGCTCTTACTGTCAGGAAGTTCTTCCTAATGTTTAGGTGGAATCTTCTTTCTTGTAGTTTGGATCCATTGCTCCGTGTCCGCTTCTCTGGAGCAGCAGAAAACAACCTTTCTCCCTCCTCTATGTGACATCCTTTTATATCTTTGAACATGGCTATCATAGCACCCCTTAACCTCCTCTTCTCCAGGCTAAACATGCCCAGCTCCCTTAGCCGTTCCTCATAAGGCATCGTTTCCAGGCCTTTGACCATTTTGGTTGCCCTCCTCTGGACACGTTCCAGTTTGTCAGTGTCCTTCTTGAACTGTGGTGCCCAGAACTGGACACAGTACTCCAGGTGAGGTCTGACCAGAATTGCATTGGCTTTTTTAGCTGCCGCGTCACACTGTTGGCTCATGTCAAGTTTGTGGTCAACCAAGACTCCTAGATCCTTTTCACATGTACTGCTGTGGGAAAAAAAAAGCTGTGCTCCCCCATTCCCCCCACTTTCCTGGGAGTAAGTCTTGTTAAAGACCTGGCTTCTTCTAAGACTTGCCCAGGTTTGTGCTGTTGCAACCTGATCTCTCCCTCTTAACCGAATTCAGGAGGGATTCCTTCCCAGAAAAGTGTACGGAAATCACAGCCCAGGGGAAACTAAAGACCGACCTTTCTTGAAATGCTTCTTTTGCCTGTTAAAGTATTAGCTCAGAAAGCATGTGCAGTGGTACCTCGGGTTAAGATCTTAATTCGTTCTGGAGGTCCGTTCTTAACCTGAAACTGTTCTGAACCTGAAGCACCACTTTAGCTAATGAGGCCTCCTGCTGCCGCTGCGCCGCCGGAGCACGATTTCTGTTCTCATCCTGAACCAAAGTTCTTAACCCGAGGTACTATTTCTGGGTTAGCGGAGTCTGTAACCTGAAGCATATGTAATCTGAACCTTATGTAACCCGAGGTACCACTGTACATTAAAAGCATTGGCTGTGAGCCTGTGTGAAAACAATAGTACAGTGGTACCTTGGTTCTCAAACGCCACAGAGCCTAGGGCTTGCTAATCAGAAGGTCGGCGGTTCGAATCCCTGCGATGGGGTGAGCTCCCGTTGCTCGGTCCCTGCTCCTGCCAACCTAGCAGTTCGAAAGCACGCCAGTGCAAGTAGATAAATAGGTACAGCTGCGGTGGCAAGGGAAACGGTGTTTCCATGAGCTGCTCTGGTTCGCCAGAAGCGGTTTAGTCATGCTGGCCATATGACCCGGAAGCTGTACGCCGGCTCCCTCGGCCAGTAAAGCGAGATGAGCACCGCAACCCCAGAGTCGGCCACGACTAGACCTAATGGCCGGGGTCCCCCCTTTACCTTGGTTCTCAAACGCCTTGGTACTCAAACAACTGGGAACCCAAACACTGCAAACCCGGAAGTAAGTGCTCTGGTTTGCGAACTTTTTTCGGGAGCCGAAAGTGCTCCATTTTGAGTGCTACACTTCCGATTTGAGTGGCACACTTCTATTTTGAGTGTTATTCTGAGGTCTGTCTGTTTTTGCTATTTATTTTGCATTTATGTTGCTCTTTTTGTTTTGTTTTTGTGACTGTGTGGAACCCAGTTCAGCTACTGACTGATTGATTGTGTGACTGCAGTACATTGTTTATTGCTTTCATTTCATGGATCAATGGATCAGCGGTCTCGTTAGATAGTAAAACTCATGATAAATTGCTGTTTTAGGGGTTGTTTTTAAAAGTGTGGAAGGGATTAATCCATTTTGCATTACTTTCTATGGAAAGTGCACCTTGGTTTTCGAATGCTTTGGTTTTGGAACGGACTTCCGGAACGGATTAAGTTTGAGAACCAAGGTACCACTGTATTGAAATCTGTGTATTTGCATTGTTGTGGGTTTTTTTTTTTAAATGGTCAGCCTAATTGTGGAGGATCTGTAACTTCACATTTATGAGATGCTTGCATTCATTGAATAGATGTCTGTAGTTCCTTCAGGGGTTTTTTAAAAAGTTAACAGCACTTTTAAGTATAGGAACAAGCCTTGTGGGATTGGTCAAGATTACCGCCAGATAGCGGATTAAGGTGTGCGTTTGGGGTGTGTGTAAAGAGTGGTTTGGGGTTTGCCCCGATTCAGAATGAAAAGGCCAGACCCCCAAAGTCATTATGATACACATAATTCTAGAAAGAGTGCAAAACACGATTTGAGAGTTTTTTGTTTTTTTTAAATGATTTAAATATTTAATCCTCAAAGTTTGGAGCCTCCCAACTCAATGCCACCTGGTGTGTTGAAGGCAGAGCTGAGATTTCACAGCTCATCTTGACCTGCATAAACGCACTGCATTTTAAATTGCACAACTTCCTCCAATGAATTATTGTAGTTTATCCTGCGCAGAGATATACTTCCCAGAACATTTAACACAGTACAGCTCTCAGGATTTATTTATTGGGGGGGGGGGTTCATGTATTTTTATTTAGTACTTTTCAAGTTTACACATTTCACTAATGTTATACATATCGCTAATTTTACAATCATTTTGACATTTCAACACTTGACTTCCCTCCCCCTCTTCCTGCGGTTCCTTACATTTATTTCTAATATCTTCTGCATATCCAAATTAACTTAATTTTCTCATTTATTCCTCTTCTTTAAATATATACTCTTACAAAAACTGCAGGTTTTTACAACAATCCTGCCAATGTTCTTATCTGTTTGCAATTTATCTGTAAATATTCAATAAACCATTTCTATTCTTTTATTTTAAAAATTGTTATGTTGATTTCTTTCTCTTCCGGTCAGTTTTGCCATTTCTGCGTACTCCATAAGTTTTTGTATCCATTCTTCTTTTGCTGGGACTTCTGCATTTTTCCATTTTTTGGCAAGTAACATTCTTGCTGCTGCGGTCGCATACATGATTACGTTTCTATACATTTTGGGTAGTTCTGTCCCTATAATTCCCCAAAGGAAAGCTTCTGTTTTTTTGTTTTACAAAGGTTATTTTAAACAGCCTTTTTATTTCATTCTATATCATTTCCCCACAAGCTACAGCTCCCAGGATTCTTGGGTGACAGGTGTGTGTGTGTGAAATGTATTTTAAATGTATGTCGCATGTACAAGCCAAGTAACTACACTGGTGCTCTTTAAAAGTAAACTCTTTATATTGGAGAGCCTCAGGCTTAGGGCCAAATAGGACCCTCTAGGCCATGGGTAGGCAAACTAAGGCCCGGGGGCCAGATCCAGCCCAATCGCTTTATAAATCCGGCCCGCGGACGGTCCGGGAATCAGCGTGTTTTTACATGTGTAGAATGTGCCCTTTTATTTAAACTGCATCTCTGGGTTATTTGTGGGGCCTGCCTAGTGTTTTTACATGAGTAGAATGTGTGCTTTTACAGTGGTACCTCGGGTTACATACGCTTCAGGTTACAGACTCCGCTATCCCAGAAATAGTGCTTCAGGTTAAGAACTTTGCTTCAGGATGAGAACAGAAATCGTGCTCTGGCGGCGCAGCGGCAGCAGGAGGCCCCATTAGCTAAAGTGGTGCTTCAGGTTAAGAACAGTTTCAGGTTAAGAACGGACCTCCGGAACGAATTAAGTACTTAACCCGAGGTACCACTGTATTTAAAATGCACC